TCAATTCAGTCCACCCTCCCAGGACATGTGGGAATTATGGGAGCTACAATTCAAGATGAGATTTGGGTGGGGACATAGCCAAACCCTATCAGATAGAAAAGAAAGAAAAGGAAGTAAAAAAATATGAGAGCCAAGATGCATCGTTATGATCTATCTTTTTGTTTTTTACACATTAATATTTTTATTTAAATCACAGATTATGTCGAGAAAAGAATCCTCATTCCTAACCCATTAACTTCCCATTTCCTTTCTTAAACTACAGAATGTATCTATTTGTTCCTTTGGAAACTACAAATCATCTGGGAGATTTTCTCACTGGCTGTTTTAGTCCTTTGTCTTTGAGGAATGGGCTTTTTCCCACTGGAAGCCACTAAAGAGATTTTTCCAAAGCAACTACACCACAATGAAGTGACTGCACAGGCAATTATTCAAGGAAAATGCTCTCTGTGAGTTGGCCAGACAAGGTGAAATTGAATAATTTTCTTTTAAACCCTAAAGAGGAGAAAAGAGACTTGGGAATAAAAAAAAAAAAAGTATAAGTGCCAAAAAGAACTTCCCCACACAGAGAAAGGAGTGGTCAAGTACCAAAGCACAAGCCAAAAAATTATGTCTTGGCTTGTCCTACTTAACGATGCCCTCTGCGGATCAGGAGCTTTCTCTCCTTCTCTCTGCAATTCTCCTTGGAGTTACAATCTTGTGTGTTAGTGTAAAATGAAAATAACCACAATAAAAAATAAATAAATGCCCTTCCAGAAGATACGGTGTCCAGGCATGAAAAGTCCAGCATATGAGATATATTTTATTCACTAAAAATAATATACCATTGGAACTAGTGAAGTCCACTTTTATAATGAGCAGAACATCTTGGCTTAGCTTTTTAATATTTTATCAACATGCTCAGAAGTATTTCCTTTAAGTGAAATCCTTGCTGTTATGAGCTTTTGCTTTTACATTTGGGAAATAACTTTGATTCCCATGAAGAATTATGAATGAGAATTATAAACATTATTAGCATTGAACGACACCACAAAAATCCCCTCTCATGTTAAAAGCAAGCAAACTGTAACATAGAAAGGTGTTCATGTTCACTCAGCTGCTTAGTGACAGGGTCACAGCCATAAGCTATGTGTCCCTTATCCTAGCCCCACTATTCTGACCACCTGCTCGCCACTCAGTATTCTGAAAATAATTATAATAATAATTTGTGCAGATATAATTTTAAAATTATTTCTGTAAGTCTAAGTATAAATTCATGAATGGCAAATTTTGATATATTTATCTTACCATAAACTGATTTTTGTCAATTCAGTGCCTTCACTACATTTTAGTTTTCCATTCGAGCATTTAAGTTAAAACCTCTGGCCATAAAAAATACAGAAATAAATCATTTTTACATTGTCAGCAGGAGAACAGCCATTCTACCTGCTATGAAATGTAAATAGTAAACTAATTCTCAAAATTAATCTTCATAAGTTCAGATTGACAATGACATAGATCACAGAGCATAAAATTATGTGCTGTGAATTTACAATGTACATTCATAAATGCTTGACTTATGCAGTAGATTTCTACTACTAACTATTTTTCGCAAGTTAGTATTACTTCTAAGAAGGTCTAAATGGTAAGAAATTTCAGGTTAGCCTCCATATAAAATGTGTCTAAATTCTAAGGCTGAAATAGGGGAAATAATACTGATATTAAACTAAATGACATAAAATACCTAGAAAATCAGAATTGATTGGAAATGGCATATTTGAGTGTTTTTCACATTTACTAATGAAAAGCATACTGTATTTGTGTAAACAATATGTCAGAAAAGTGGCCTTATACATGTAGCAAATGAGAAATTTCCCTGGAAATGATAAACATTTGAATAACAACTCAAAAGTTACTGAGAATGAAATTGGAAATGGAAAATAAACCAAACCAGGCAATGAAGAAATCTGAGGGCTACACACAAGGGACTCCAAAATTGAATACACAGTCTTTACACTCAAGTTGCCTCATGTCTAGTTGGCAGGCAGAAATGTAAATGTAACCCATATGTTTGCTGGGGTCACTCTGTCCTTTCAGAGTTCCTATAAAGCAGGATTAATTTGAGGGGACTCCTATTCTGAGGATTTCTCTTCTGATATCTTGTTCTTGCTAAACTATCTCACCGCCATCCTTCTGCCCTGCTCTGTCTAGATTTTGAATAGAGTGTCTTGTCCTTGAGTTCAACTGAAACATCGCTCACAAAAGGCATTAGCATATGACCAACATTACTGAAGGTCTGTGGCAATGGGGAAAGGGCCATTATATCATAAAATCACACTGCACAGAACTTGACCATGGAATTGAAGAGATCCCTGGGCTCATAAGTCCTCCAGCTACTTTGCTCTGGCGATTTTGCTCCAGTTTCCCACTTTCCCATCACATTTATTCTTGTTTTTGTTTTTGTTTTGGAGATGGAGTCTCGCTCTGGTACACAGGCTGGAGTGCAATGGTGCAGTCTCAGCTCATTGCAACCTCTGCCTCCCAGGTTCAAGCAATTCTCCTGTCTCAGCCTCCCAAGTAGCTGAGATTACAGGCACGTGCCACCACACCTGGCTAATTTTTGTATTTTTAGTTTTCCCATCACATTCTGTCCTTCCCTCTCCTCTTTCTCCTGATTACCACTGAAGCTCAATTCTCCTTAACCTTTTTGAGTAATTCTTTCTTTATTTCACTGCTTCTTCTAGAGCATGCCTTAATAACCTCATCATCTTCCCCAAAAGTAATCTGTTAGGATATTTTCCTAAACAGAGACAGATGCCTCCATAAAAGGAGCTCTTGGATCAGGTGTTAAGGTAACAAACTTCTCCCTAGCAACATGTATGGTACAGCATAGTTATTCCTACAAAACTAATCAGTGTCAGCAGTAGCAGTTACAGAGGAGAAAGCAATAAAGGCCTTAATTTTATTGTCTGTATTAATAAAATTTATGTCTTTTCACACAGTTACCATGAGGATTAACTGATTGTATAAACTCTGATTTATATCCTAATACAATATATGCTATCAATATCTAGCCATATCTGATTCATAGTACACATTCCTTTTTCTTTACTTTTTCTTTCTCTTTTTTTTTTTTTTTGAGATGAAGTCTCACTTTGTTGCCCAGGCTGGAGTGTAGTGGCGTAATCTCACCACACTGCAACCTCCGCTTCCTGGGTTCCAGCAATTCTCCTGCCTCAGCCTCCTAAGTAGCTGAGACTACAGATGTCTGCCACCACACCCAGCTAATTTTTATATTTTTTTAGTAGAAATAGAGTTTTACCATATTGGTCAAGCTGATCTCGAACCCCTGACCTTGTGATCTACCTGCCTTGGCCTCCCAGAGTGCTGAGATTGTAGGTGTGAGCCACCACATCTGGCCTCATAGTACACTTTCAACTAATTTGACAGGTGTTCTTCCACACCTACCACATGGCAGGGAGAGATTGAAGATGTTTCCTGAACAAAACGTCATCAAAGATAATCCTTTTAAAACATTTACTTTTGAAAGAGGCCACCATGGGACATTCGGGGTTGTACTAAGAGAGAAGAACATGACAAAGATGTGTAATAAAGAAAATACACAATGAATTCATTCATATGGGGGATACTAGTGGATAAATTACGATTAGGCAGGGGCTTAAAGGCAGGGTAATGATTTCAGATTTAATTCAATAAATTGAAAACAAAGTCACCACTATCATGTGTGAGGTGACTGACAAGCGATTTTGGTTACTTAATAGCATCAGAGCATTCAGAATGTGAGTTGTAAGAGTTTGTGTTTTCTGCTCTGGTCAAGAAATACCTATAGAGTTGTGTTCAGCCAGGACTCCATTATTTGAGAACTTTAATAAATTTCAACTCATTCAAAGAGAAGAATAGTAAGGAAGTCTGGTACTATGACACATGAGAAGTGACAAAAAGAACAAGGAGTTTTTGCCCTGTGAAAGAGCTATTACAAGGGGATGACATGATAGACCGTGACATTCCTAAGAACATGGTTTGGTATTTTTGACCTTTGAGTCCTCAGTGCCTACATATGGTTGTTACTCAATAAAGGCCTGTTGAATAAATGAATGAATAATTAAATGGCCAGCTGTCAGAGAGAATGGAAACTAAATTTGTTCTTTGTGTCCCTAAAGGGCAGAGGATGATGGGAGTTACAGAGATAGAGATATAGATGGCAACTCAACATAAAGAAGATTTTAACACATGCAACCTCTCAGCAATGAATGGAACTGCAGCCAGAGATGGTCAAGTTTCAACTCACTTCCTAGGGTGAATAAGCTTATGCTTGTCAAGGAATGATTTAAGCATCCCTAGGACTCTGTGAGTATTCGGCTTCATCAAAATTGTTGAATTTTTAACTTCATACAGATCTCTTATAAGGACTTGCAACAACTTTGTTAATATTACTTGTAAATGTAGTAACAAATTACCCTACAAAATGTGCTTCTTAAACAATGATCATGTTGCATTTTGAGGTGTTTCATGAGGCACAAATTGGTGAGAGGAGACGACACATAGGTAAACACACAGGTATCCCCTACTTCCCACCATGTGTACACATTAGATGAAGTTTCCAATGTATTTAGCTGAAGACATAAATTCTTGTGAGAAGTCAGTGGCTCCACTGGCAAAGGCAAATGTTGCAAATCTCTACACATTTTCCTTCACCCTTATTGCTTCTGAAGAGGGCAAGCAATTGTTATTTAGATTTTCTATCAAAATACTGTCATATCTTTCCCTGTTATATCTGCACTTACACCACCATCTTGGAAGAATTTTTGCAATAACAGTTATATTATTTTCTTTACAACACTGATTCCCACATGCAGTTCTTGAACTAAATTCAGCATCGGAAAGGTATAACTTGGGGAGAAAGCAAGATCACCGTAGTGTGGCTGAATAACATCTTTATCTAGACTTTCTATAACTCTCAAATACCTATTATTTTGTACAATTATAAAAGTAACTTAACTCACATGATTTTCCTAAGGAATTGGATTGTCTTCTTTGAGTATTACGTTGTCTAGTAATTTCTTGATTCAGCCATTCGTTTGGTAGCTCCTGGAAAGTATAGACAAAACAAATCTTAGTGTTCTATATAATTATGAGACTGGATAAAGAAATCCTAAGAAACAAAGAATTTGATAAAATACCTTAAGAAGAAAACATAAAAGAAATAGGAAAGAGTTTTGGCTTAATGACAAGAAACAAACAAACAAACAAAAAGGTCTGTTTTAAAATATCTTGAGGTTTTCACAGACTCTGCTTGATGAAGATTTATCAGCCTTCTGAATCTTCTCCTAGGCTCATCTGTGCATTTCCTTGTTAAATCTAGTTTTAGCAAAGAGACTTGCTAAGTCAATTTAACAACAAGCTTCACCCTCAATATTTGGTTCCTCATCCTCTACCTGCCCTCTACCTGACTGATCACCCTGGCCTGTCTTCAGCGAGAATCTTGTTAGGTTGGTCTAGCCAGAATCTCTCTCATCCCTGATATTTTCTCTTAGTAATTTTCCATCCACTGACTCTCACCCTGCTCTTTGGCTATAAATTCCCGCTTGCTCATGCTGTATTCAGAGTTGAGCTTGGTTAGTCTCCCCAACTGCAAAATTCCACTACCAAAGTACCTGTACCTATTGCAATGATCATGAATAAAGTCAGCCTTATGATGTAACAAATGTCAGTGAATAACTTTTTCTTTACCAGTTAGTACAAACATAAGAGTAATTAAAATCTGCCTAATGACAGCCATTATTCCAAAAATTTTCAGAAAAAAAGTTGACATTTAAATAATAAAAATAAAAAAGCATAATAATTTAGATGACGAACTTCAGACACTCTCAATGCCCAGTTCTAACACAGAGAAGAAACTAGAGCATTAGACTACTTATTAAGGAGATTAGGCAAGAGATATATGTGTCAGCTATGGTTTTATAACTTACAATTTTCTTGTTATGGCATAGAAGTTCATTCATTTATTAAGTATTTATTGAATACCTACTCTGTGCCAGACACTGTCATGACTTTGCTTTATTCAAACAAAAATAGAATAATATCCCTGTTCTAACGAACTCTTTAAAATGCTATTTTATTATTCCCTTTAATTTTAATACCAGCAATTCCTGCATTAAGGAACGATTAGACAAAACTATACCCATTTTGAAAAAAAATTTTAAATTATATCATAAGAAAAAGTACACTTTGAATAAAACATGATTATTGTTATTTTTACACCTCATTCAATAGCTTAAAATTCTAACAAAAATTAAATCTCACTAATCCAACATGATAGTTTAGACTAAAACCAAAGTATTAACTCTAAATTCTATACAGATTAACTTTCTCTCTCTCTCTCTCTCTCTCTGTTTGTGTGTGTGTGTGTGTGTGTGTGTGTGTGTGTAGATATAGATCTATATAGTAGAAATTGTGGCTTTTATAATGAGCAGCAGAATGATCTGTGATGAGGGAGGAAATCCAACCTATCACAGGATAAATGAATCAAGGACGTAACAATGAATAGTATCCAACAGGGAAAGCAGTAAAGAAGATAATGTCCAGAATGCAAAACTTTTACCAAACTTTTACTTGATCTTAAGTAGCATTCAGTACATAGAGTCAAAATATGTGTCCCAAAGAACATTAGGGCTGCAGAATATAAGCAGATGCTAAGCACAAACATGAAATAAATAAATAAATAAGCTAATCATGGAGATGATTTTCATAGTGATATGTAGGTCAATAAAATACTGTTTAATATAAGACTTCTAAAGATCTTTTATTTTTTAATTAGATAGTATAACTTTCCAGGAAGAGCATAGAATTTTCAGTATTTACGAAATATGCTTGACTATGATAACATTTTCTTGAAGAATCACTTTCTCAAAGTTTCCAAGAAACAGATTAAGGTTTTGGGAGCCTAAAGCAAGTGATATATAACAAAGTGCCCCTTACAGTGCCTGGCACAGAGCAGTTGCTCACTGAAAGGTATTAGTAGCTGTGAGAACAGTCATGGAATTCTTGTCGCTGTTAGCATTGCAACACAAGGAAAGCCACAGTTTTATGAAGGCTGGCCCACACTCTAAACACATGTAAAATGCTTCTGAAAATAGAAGGGGAAAGACAGAAGGGTTCTAGCAGACATTTGTGCCATAACACGCTAAGCATGCAAATGCATTGTCATTGAATTATTACAACTGTGGCGGGAGATGGTCTTATTACATCAGTTTTACAGGTGATGAGACTGAGGTTCACGGTAGGCTAACAGTTCCGCAGTAAGTAAACGATAGGTCTATCTGAATTCAGAATTAACTAAAGTTATTCTTCTTTGTCAAATCACATTCATTTTTTCAATAGGCTCTTGAGGATATTAGAGGTTGCTGTTGTTTGCTTGTTTTATTTGTACTTTCTCATTATTTTACTACATAGAGTAGCGCTCTGGAAAATGAAACAGGGCTGAGGGTGAATTTTGTCTCTGCTATTGTCACTTTGGGCCTTGGCTCCTTATTATAAGATTCCTCCATCCTTCTCTCCCTTCCTTTCTTCCTTCCATATGAAATCAGTGATATTTGAGCAAACTGAATAAAAGGAGGAGTAGAAAAAGGTGAGACTTGGGAACTAACCACAATTATGAAGAGCATGCTAGACCATGGGAGAAAGGTGGAATTTTATGTTAAGTATAAGGGGAGCCACTGGAGGATCCTAAGCAAGGGAAGTGCATCATCACAGTATCATTGAAAAGATCTCTATTGCTACTATTTGAAGAATGAATAGGGGCAACCCTGCAGGGGATGGGGTGAGAAGCAAGAGTGGAAGTAGAAAACCCAGATGGAGGCTGTGTCCACTGAGACAAGAGAAGGCACAGGCCTGGACTAAGAGGGTGGTCTATGACATGAGGTAAGGAGAAAAAGTTCAAATATTATTTTCAAGGTAGTATCAATAAGGCTTGCCAATGTATGTGATATCTAATTTATCAGAAAGGAAGGCTCCCAAATTTTTAGCTTGAGTAACCCTGTACATCTTATATAAAAGGAGAAGAATAGGGATTGGAGAAGCTGGACATGGAAGGGGAAAAATCCAGAGTTTCATTTTGGATCTGTTAAACTGGAGAACCTGAGTCACATCCAAAGAAGATGTCAAGCAGACATTTGGACATGAGAGTGAAAAGCTCAACAGAAAGATGTGGGCTCCAATGGAAATGTGGGAGCCATTAGCAGGACAGAGCTCACAACCATGGCAGCTAATGAGATCACTTAGGGACAAAGGTTAATGATGGAGAAGATGACAGCCTGAGATTAAATACTGAGTTACCTAAAGAAGAAGTCAGAGAAGGCTCCAGCAAAGAGAACAAAACAAAACAAAACAAAAGATGAACAGAAGAAGGAAGGAAAGCAGGAGACAGTGGTGTTTTAAAACCAAGAGAGTAAAGCCCTACTATGGAACAGGCATGGGGGATTTAAAAAGTGATGAATTACTATGTTAAACAGATTATATCTTGAAATATTAACTCTTTCTTTTCCTAGGATGGGATGAAGGTAATACTGTGACTCATGGGAGGAGAGAGATACTTTCTCCATGGGAGAGGGATGCAAAGATGGGTTGGTTTAGAGATGAAAAGAAGAGGGAGTTTACATCTGATGGCAATAATTTTTTCATAAAATATGAAGTTCTTAGACCAAATCTCAGATACATGCAACCATGTAAAATAAGGACAAAGTTTCATTAGGTATGACTTCCTATACCAAGGTACTGTGTAATATGAGGACTATCTATATAAACATAAATGGTCATAGTGGCAACAAAGATTGCAATATCTCAAAATATACTCTAGTATAAGGAAAAATGAACTTTCTGTCAAAGCTGAGCCTAATTTGCACTTGACCAAACAAAATAATAGACTGTTATCTGGTTCACAGAGGGCAGCCTTTCTACAGAGGGCTAGCAGCATTTCTCTTTCTTTACACTGTAACTTTTACTTTGTTCAAGGGCCATTGTCACACTCACAGTAAAAGGACAACCTAGGGACTCTGCCCTTCAGAATAATTAGTAGGGACAGAGAGGAGCAGATCATTTCATGTTATAGATTGGCCCTGACCTTGGTTTCTTAATCTGTTTATACTTGATGACTAAAATGGTGTAGTAAGGGCTCAGCTGAGACACCTGTAAAAACAATCCACTTTCAAAATGTGAGGCAAGGCATAGCTTGAACGCTTGGTGAGCAAAAGACCACGGTTATCCATCTATAAATTTGGGGAGAGCTGAGGCATACTTTGCTATGCTGGTTCTAAACAAACACCCACAGAGTTTACAAACTAATAAAGTTGTGCGTAACCTTATTTAGCTGAGGGAATGAGTATATTTATAAATTATTCATAGTTTCTCTTTCTTGGCCTATAAATTGGAATTGATCTATCTTTTAGTCCCTTGGTGTTCTAAACTGCATTTTAGGGGAAACTCATCAAATCCAGGAACATCTTCTAGAAAGAAATTACCCACTTCTTGTCCTCCAACATTGCAGTCTGTTCCTCCTTCTCTTATCTTACTGTGTTTAGTGCTTAGGGCCCATGTGCCTCTCCCAAATTGAGGGGTAAGTCTCAAATTGGATGGAAAAAACAACAATTAGATACAGCAACACATCTGTTAGAATGACCAAAATCTAAAACACTGACAACACCAAATGCAACAAGGATGTGGAGCAACAGGAATTACTTGCTTGTGGGAATGCACATGGTATGTCGACTTTGGAAAACATTTTGTCAATTTCTTGCAAAACTAAATAGACTCTTACAATACAACCCAGTAATCACACTCTTTGGTATTTACCCAAATGAGTTAAATACTTACATCCATGAAAAACCTGCACACAGATATTTACAGGAGCTTTATTCATAATTACCAAAACTTGGAAGCAACCAAGATGGCCTTTAGTATGTGAATGGATAAGTAAACTGTGGTATATCCAGACAATGATATATTATTCAGGGCTAAAAGGAAATGAGCTTATAAAGCCATAAAATAACACGAAGGAACCATAAATGCATTATTACCAAGTGAAAGAAGCTATT